CGAGGTGCGGCCTCACCAGTGCTGAGTACAGGGGCACGATCACTTCCCTACTCCTGCTACACTTCCCTACTCCAAATGTAAATTTCAACTTCATTTATAAGACTTAATGATCCCAAATAAGAATTTGCTGTCATCTTTCTTTGTCGGGAAGGAGAATGTAGCTATAAGGAGCAGACACCTTCTCATGTTCCCACTGAGTGATCTCACCTTGAGACAGAAACCAGTAGGTGGAAGCAGCCCTTGCAAGAAGAGCCAGGGAGACCAGAGGAGCAGGGGTCAGCCTAAGAGCTGAAGCTGTGGGGCTTGCTGGCTAAATCCAGCCTGAACCATCTTCTCCCAAACTCCCCTGACACCTCTGTTCCACCACAGTCTCTGCACGCTGCTTTCCCTTCTCTTTTCCCTGCCTGGGCTACACACAACTGATAATGTAAGTGAAGGTTTAGCTTCCAAAACATTAAATATTCTCAGGAATAGCAAAAGCTACACACCAGCCCCGGTTTCTCCTAAGAAACGAGCAGTTTAAAGAAAATAAAGATGCCCCACACTAAAATAGTACGATTCAGGGTCATAATGGCTTTAAACTAAAGGGAGGTAGATTTAGACTAGATAGAAGGAAGATGTTTTTTACGCTGAGGGTGGTGAAGCACTGGCACAGGTTGCCCAGAGAGGTGGTGGATGCCCCATCCCTGGAAACATTCAAGGTCAGGTTGGACGGGGCTCTGAGCAACCTGATCTAGTTGAAGATGTCCCTGCCCACGGCAGGGGGGTTGGACTAGATGACCTTTAGAGGTCCCTTCCAACCCAAACTATTCTATGATTCTATGATTCTATAAACACAAACGTCTTCAAATGTCCTAATCACAATTCAATTACTTCTTTTGTAATACAAGCTTCCTGGGAAAATGTGCTAACAGTCAAACAACAAATTGATTTAATAATTTTAGGAACTTGTAGTAATTTGTACTACAACTAGAACAAATGCACCCCTAATTAAGATCAATGCATATGAGTTCCCAAATAGTTACTGGCAAATTAAACAACATAAGAACCTTATTCACTGCTTATAGCTTGTAACTTAACTTTTTCAACACCCCATAAACATCTGCTTATATCATAACACAGGAAGAAAAGCTGTTACAGATGGATAGTGCCAGTCTTTTTTCCTGAGCTTCTCACCCCTGAACCTTGTTCTGTCAGGAAAGTAGATGAAAATCACTCACAAACACAAAGGCAAACTGTGCAGAGTAACATACATGAAGGCAAGCTCAAGAAGAAACTGCCACCACCCCGCAGCCCACCTACGGTTGTGATTTACAGTATTTACTTTTGCTGGTCTTTCATGGTTTCAATGATGGTTCTTAGCTCCTTAATTTGTGTTCTCAGCTCCTCCAGGGCAGTCTGACCTTGGCTCACGTACTCAGTCTTTGGCTTTCCTTCAGTACCGAACAGGGATGGGGAATTTGACCTGTGGCCTGTTGTTCCCATAGCAATTGAGTGAAATCCAGGTGATGGTGAAGGGGATAGGGATGGTTGTACATTACTGCCACTAGCCAAACCTCCTGGTTTTGGAGGCAAGGAAGTTTTATTATCAGACACCTGCAACAAAAAGAGTAACATTTAACGTCTGGAGAAAGCTTTATGAAAATCAGACCTCTAACAAATATTAAGTATTTTGCTGCTCTTCAGTAATGTTGAAAGTCCATAGTCAAACATGGTCAGTTTTTGTCAAAGCATGATAAATATAACAATTAGTCATTATCTTTGTACATGGACATCAGGGGGACTCTGGTTGGGATGCAGAAGTTCAGACAGCTTCAGTAAGACGTTCCACAGTTGCTACAACCAGTCAGCAACAAGCGTTTCGAAGATCTCAGACCTAGCAGTGAAATGAACCAGGGAAAGATGCTTAGTGTTTCTCTCAGAAGTTTGTGAGAACGTACCTACATTCATGGATGTCTCCTGCAGAGCACAAAACTGCATGGCCAAGAATCCAAGTTGTATTTTTTTGCAGATTAAATTTACAATTGTCAACTAACCATTGAAGGAATCTTCAATACCCAACAGTTTTTAAAAATTAAAAAATGTGTTACACGTTGCCCTTAGCGTTACGAAAATAGAAAAATATTCCTTAAGTTTACTTGTTGGTATGATGTAAAAACAAAATCCCATGACTTCAAAATGATAATATATTAATAAGAAATAAATGTACTGTACTGTCCGCTGTTAACTGAAGCTTCTGTGAATCCCCATAACTACCTGTTTTGGATTTAGGGTGAGAAAAATGTTGATAACACATCAATGGTTTAGTTGTTGCTGAGCAGTGCTTACACTAGGCAAGGACCTTCCAGCTTCCCATGCTCTACCGACTGAGAAGGCTGGAGGGGCACAAGAAGCTGGGAGGGGGCACAGCCAGGACGGCTGACCCAAACTGGTCCAAGGGATATTCCATACCATATGACATCACGCTCAGCATATAAAGCTGGGGGGAAGAAGAAGGAAGGGGGGGATGTTTGGAGTGATGGCGTTTGTCTGCCCAAGTAACCGTTACGTGTGATGGGAGCCCTGCTTTCCTGGGGATGGCTGAACACCTGCCTGCCCATGGGAAGCAGTGAATGAATTCCTTGTTTTGCTTTGCTTGCATGCGCGGCTTTTGCTTTACCTATTAAACTGTCTTTATCTCAGCCCACGAGTTTTCTCACTTTTACCCTTCTGATTGTCTCCCCCATCCCACCGGGGGGGGAGTAAGTGAGCAGCTGTGTGGGGCTCAGTTGCCGGCTGAGGTTAAACCACAACACTACCAATGGCTCTTTTTTCCTCCAGGAACTTAACAGAAAAACACGGCATTACCCTAGTTACCCTGGAACCATGTGGCTAGCTCAGAAGTATCCCATGCTTCTTGAACTGCAATCCAGTGCTCTACTTATTAGACAAGGTATAGAACAACTGAAGTCCACCTACCATACATGACCAGCTACTTCACTGCATACACAGAACAGTGTACAAGGACAGTTATCACAATGGCAAGTAGGGTGAGTCTTATTTATCATATTGTTATTTGGCAATGCTAATGTGTGCATTATACGACAGCTACTAGAAGTATCTGAAAATCTGATTTGCCCAAGAGTAAGAAAAAGCACTAGGCAACCCTCCAAGTCTATCTTTACAAAAGCAATACTGAAGTTAAATGGCAAATAGGGTAAGATATTGAGAAAAAATGGTGTGGAAACGGAAGGAGACATTGTAAGTAAGGACTTGGGGACTGGGGCAGTGGCATTGGCTGGGCAAAGTAACTGAGAGAAAAGTTAGTGGTCAGATGAAAATCAGGAAAAAGTGTGATGGGGAGGGAAGAACAGGATCCACTGAGTTCTGCAAAAAAACAGTATTCCCCACCTCACAAGTGTGATCGAGCACAGAACCTATCCTGGGCAAGCACCGCATAAAAAAAGTGTTCTGCAGAAAAAAGTGTGGCCATAGAAATAAAAATGGTGTTATAATCACAAGAAAGCTGAATCACTCCAGTTGCTTGAATGCTTGACTTGATGACCATAACAATATTCCTTTAACATTTTATATATATGTGTGTGTGCACATGTGTGAGTAATGTATTCCTATAAATGGATCTTTCATGGATAACAATCGTTGTATCAGTAGATGCAAGTTTCCTTTGGACTGAAAAGAGACGTCAGGCCGAGTTCAAACCTGGAACAAGTGAGCAAGGCACAACTGGAGTCATCCACATTGAATACCTTATTCCAGAGCTTGACTGGCTATCAACATTAAAGCCTCAAGCAGCTACTTTCTGATAGCAGTCGTCTTGTTTTACAGGAACAACATCTACATCCTTGGCATACCAGCATATAATTTAAGAATGTTGGCCCAAAAGCGTTCCTTAATGCAAGTGCTCCCAGAAGAGGGAGCTATATAGCAAAACATTGTCCTTATAACTTGATCACAGAAGTGCATGACTTCATCTTTCAAATACTTCTGTTATAGTATTAGAATGTAATATTTGTATTATTAAACGTATCCTTATGTACTAAAAAATAGCTCCAACCTCTAAAGTCTGATCTACATACTCCTCCTGTAATATTCCATTATCCTAGTTTTCTACCAATATACAGTAAGAATGGCACAAGCCTATAAAATTAATACAATTATACCAGTATAAATAGTGATTATACTTGCAAATTTAAATTCACATACTATTGGAGTGGGTCAAAGAGTTTATTTTCTCTGCTCACAGACTCTTCTAACATAAATTTAATTTACAGCTGCAAGAAAGGGCCTTTGTTTCTAAAATTTATTTCCCTGGCTTCTCCGAGTCTGTGAAATGTATTTACACTAGAAGGATTTTTTCACAATATGGTTATGGAGACATTTTAACTGTGCAATTCACTTTAGACTTGCATTTCAAACACAGAACAATCTTTAGTAACTGCTGGTTTCGGCTGGGATAGAGTCAATTTTCTTCATAGTAGCTAGTACGGGGCTGTGTTTTGGATTTGTGCTGAAAACAGTGTTGATAACACAGGGGTGTTTTCGTTACTGCTGAGCAGGGCTGACACAGAGTCAAGGCCTTTTCTGGCCCAGCGAGCAGGCTGGGGGTGCACAAGAAGTTGGGAGGGGACACAGCCAGGACAGCTGACCCCAACTGACCAAAGGAATGTTCCACAACATATGACGTCATGCTGAGCATATAAAGCTGGGGGAAGAAGAAGGAAGGGGGGGGACGTTTGGAGTTATGGCATTTTGTCTTCCCAAGTAACCGTTATGCGTGATGGAGCCCTGCTTTCCTGGAGATGGCTGAACACCTGCCTGCCCATGGGAAGGAGTGAATGAATTCCTTGTTTTGCTTTGCTTGCGTGCGCGGCTTTTGCTTTACTTATTAAACTGTCTTTATCTCAACCCACGAGTTTTCTCACCTTTATTCTTCTGATTCTCTCCCCCATCCCACCGGGGGGGGGAGTGAGTGAGCGGCTGTGTGGTGCTCAGTTGCCGGCTGGGGTTAAACCACGAAAGTAACCCTTCCCATTTTAAGCTTCTTTAAAGGGCCAGTTACCAGGTGATTGTTGAGTTAAATGTTAAAAATAAGTATTTGAATACTGTTTTCAAAAATGAAGATGCATGTGATAAGGTAAAGCAGAGATATTCCAATTAACTTACTTGTGATATTGTAACAGTTCTTGATTTCCTTGACACTTCAATAGTTTTGTGTGTAATGGAACCATGTTCTTCCTTCTCTTCTTCAGGACTCGGTGAGTCAAAGAAATCGGGGCTTGAAAGGGACGACTATATAGACAAACACGCACACCCCAAGAGAGGAAAAAAAAATGCAGGTATTTTCATTGTAGAAGAATTTAACAAAGGACAAAGAAAAGCATTTATGTGATGACTTTTTTATTTTTAGTTATCATTTTCAAAGTAACAACACTTAAAATCAGGACTCTCCCTCACCCCACCCCCCCTTTTTTACGTCTTGTTTTCAAGGCTAGAATGCTTTCAAAGCATTTATGAAATGAGATATACTTAGGATTTGAATTCAACGTTAATTTACATCTTTGCATTGTATTATATCATAAGATGAAAGCACCTTCCTGTTCGCAAGAAGAGCTGTACCTTACTTGGCTAGGACACTGAGTACTGTGCTGTGGGGATGCCGGCTCTGCCACCTGGGCAGCTCTGCCACGGCTTTGCTCAGTGCAGGTCTCACTTTGCTGCTCTTCAGAGGACCCATGCTGCTGCCCGTGCACACTGCTGGCACTGCAGGGCTGCCTTGTGCACGGCCTCTTTGTAAAGGTGCGAACAGGGAAGGTTCTTTCCACCCCTGTTCCTTTCCCCATAGATTTGACACAGGAAGAAAGACCTTTGGACTTGTCTTTTATGTTTCTATATTTAGGCACATAGTCAATTTTGAAAGCTTTCTTTTTGTGTGTTCTATTGGTTTCACAAGAATCCTTTTTTGTTTCCCTCCTCTTTCTTTTTCTTCAGCAACGTGAACACGGGTAACCATCAGTAGTTGCTCTCATTCTGATATTCCAGAATGCAAAAAGCACAGAATTGAACAAACCCCAAACCCCAAAGAAAAGGACATTGAAAAACTAAGCAGTGGTTTCCAAAGTATGGTTTATGAGACCAACTGGTCTAGAGATAAATATTAGAGTGAAATTTAAATCACCCTTATATTTACAATTGTGAGCTTAATGAGAAGAAACACATGGTGGCTCAAGGAGAGCTGTTGAAGGCTGACAACGGTCTGTTTGTCCTCAAAATCTGGTAGAGTGTCCTAAAGAAAGCAAGGGAAATGCTTCTTTTGGGAAACACTTCCAAAATCCTTAATACTTAGCACAAACAGGCTTTTTCCAGAGATTTTGATAAAGTTGGTTGGCAAGGACTACCTGGCAGCACACAAATAAGGGGGTACAAATCTTGTAAGGGAGGGAATGTTTTAAACATCAGTATTCAAAACACTGGCAGCCTTTTGACACTAATTTTCCTGAGCTGCATCTCTCTGCCTCACTGTACGTGTGACGGAATAGCTGTGTGAATGTAGTAAAAACACCAGGGAACACAAATAGGAGGAGGGAAAAGAATCAGAAAAAAAATATTTTTAAAAGAAAAGGAAAATTAACTTACAGACGTGAGAGACTGGGAGGGTGGTCGCCTGCCAGTAGCTTTTGGTCTGGTTGTAGTTGGATGATTAAGCTTCTCAGCAATTGGTATTACAGAGTCAAAACCTTCCAAGTCTTAAAAATAAAACAGAATTGATTTGGTTTTCTGGCAATTGTCCTCAAAGGGAAAGAATCACAATTTTTTTTTAATTTCAAAGAAATCAAATCCCATTTTCCCCATTGCGTCACAGTGTTCTGCACATGTTTAGGCACCATGATGGCACTAAAAAAACCTGGAAGTCAAAGGCAGCTGTAATCCAGTCACCCTTGCCAAGCACAATTACTCTTCCATCTCAAACACAATAAAGCAGAGGGGGAACGGGTAGAGGAGCCTTTGGCTTTGTTTTCAGCATAGTGAAAGCTAAATGACAACATGGGTCCTCTGGCAGGGAACAAACAGTTTCAAAATTTCCATCTTGCTATTAAAGGGGTTAGTAATTTTTTTTCCTGAATATTTGGAGACATAAGACAGCGCATGCGTTTTCTCAAGAACTGTACTGTCAGCGCTGCACCTGCAGCAATTGCTTAGGGGAGCACAGAATGAGAATGATCGAGCTGGAAGTGATCTGCAGGTTCCTGGACACCTGCAGCTGGAGACAGCATAGCTTCCAGTAGCTATAGGTGAGAGGAATATCTCCAGTATTCCAGAGGTTATGGTAAGTAAAAACTCTAACAGGCTCCTGAAGCTGTCCAGAGCCCAGAAAAACAGGTCTGCTCGAATGCAGTCTCGACTGTCTTCACGGTTAGTGAAATGCACCGGGGAAGTGTTTACTGAATCCAGCCACGTGCTAGCATGTTTACGTGAAAGAACGATGTGAAGGCTGAAGGAATACCGCAGCTCGTGATTACATGCCTGAATCAAATGGCTTAACACCATTCATCTATTTTTATGGCTTATATCAGTTTCACTCACCTCCAATTCAAAATGCCCTACTGCATATGTTAAGCAGAAATGAGTCAGAAAACATACAAGAGGGACTTTAGACAAGATAAATCAAAATTCTGTCAAATTACTTTCAGACATGAATCAAATACTGGAATGATATTCATTATTCAGAGACTATTTTTCATTGCACACATGTAGGATGGAATAGCTTTTAAGTTAATAGTTACCTATAGTGGCCACTTAATTTTCAGGACTGTTATGGAACAATGACTCTCTGAAGATCCAGCTTTGTTGCTGTATTACAACCATTGTACAAAATTACACAACAGAAAGACAAATGAATTAATGGGCCGGTGCAATAAGCTACATGCACTGAAGGACACTTAAACTGATTCCAAGTACTCATGATTTGGCAGCTAGGAAGTAAAGAGGATTAGACATTCCTTATTCAGCAATATTCTTCCATCTCTGGGGAAAAAAAAAAAAAAAAGAAAAGAGACCTCCTTCAATAGCCCTGAAATAGTCTAAGGTTATTCACCTCTAAATACTACTCTATTTTTGGAGCAACTCTTCCTATATATAACCAGCGACCCCACTGTCCTCTACCAGATATTTCTCTCATTGTTTTTCTATTGACTATTGCAACCTATGTCCAAAGGTAGGTCACCCAGTCTGTCAATGGGAGTTTGGCAATCCGATGCCTCAGCTGTACCCAACATATCAGATGAGGCTACAATGCTTTTAAAGTAAAAACGAGCTAACATTAGCAGACTGTATAAAACCTATCTGGAGTCCTACAGAACTTCAGGGTTTCAGAAGAGGAGAAATGGAAATAAAAATTTATTTTTGGGGGAAAAAAATGCAAATGTAAGAGCCGGTTTCCAGTAATATCCAGTTTGAAGCTGATGCATGAGATAGCTAAACGACTTGTTTAAGAAAATCAGTGATGTATTTTAATACATTGTCTTCATTTTCACCACTGCGTTACTTTGTTAAGTTGCACAGCAAGAATATATTGCCATCAAAAATATACACTCGTCTACAAACATGCGAAGCTCACATACATGAGTACGAATGGAGGCTGAAGGAATCCTACCCAGCCGCTCTTTCCCACTTAACTGTTTTTACCTTTTTTTTTTTCCTGAGCTAGTTTTAATCCAGCTCCTTTTCCAACAGCAGGTGCCCAGCCACACAAGTACCCGTGCTGAAGGAAGGATCAGTATCAGTACCAGAGGACTGATACAAGCTGCTAAAACTGAGAGGAAGAGCAGACTATTGCTTTGGGGGGCAGCAAACTGGCTGAATTTATGCTGCAGTCTAGGAAGGCTCCAGTGCATGACTTCCCTCTCTCTGTGCTGCCGCTTCTATGGTAAGCGCCACTGTCCCTTCCTCTGTTCTTACAAAAGAAAGTATCTACACTAATATGGGAAACAATCAATGAAAAACACAGTGGAGGCATTAATTCAATGTGTTTCTTTGGCTTAAATAAACTAATAATTACCTAGAGTTCTATGTTTTATCAGAATAATCAAATATCCATGTTTAAATTGTAAAATGTATCGATAAACAGAGAGTGTATGAATTTGTGTCCTTGAGATCCATGAGCACTTGCAGATAAAATCTGCTCCATGCATTTTATGAATACCATGAAAGATGAAAATTTCTGTGCAAGGCTTGTATTATCAAGAAATACTGGGAATCCTCCATTTTTTCCACTTCTGAACGCATTTCTGATAGCTCAAAAAATAAACTAAAGCAGCCTATACCTGCACTGAATTTTAAAAAAAGAGCAGAAGAGATGCTGGAAAGGCTCCACAGGTAAAATCTGCTGCCAAACTAGTGAAATCATAGTCATTCAGCTGATACTATAAATGAAATTCTATTTAAGTACAAGGGACAACACTTGGTACAATGCTAAAATAGTAAATCCATTTCTAGTATTTCCATATGCCCTTTATCCCCCCCTGTTTGTTCTCCTTATGTAGATGTGGTTCTTGCTCCCAAATCTGCTCTGCATCTAAGGTTATCACCACTTTCCACAGTCATCACCTATGAGGTATTCATTCATGAAAATTCCCATAGAGTAAACTGGTAAAGAAAACGAGGAACACAACCACTCAAGACACCTCTGCCTTGCTGTCATCTATACTGTAGATTCAGTAATGAATTCACTTATACTGGTTATTTGATTATTTTTTGCTAATGGAAAGCAGGGTTATATGATGTGACTATATTATATGCACTGAGATGATTAAATGCAGAAATTTTATTTTAGTTAGCTAACAGAAATTGGAAGCTTAAATTTACTTAATAAGCAAAATGGAAAACCTTCCTGAGCTGGACCAAATGGGATGTCATTAAAAATACAGTCCAGTCTACTGTAATCACAGCCATGTTAATTGCCCGCAAGGCAGCATCAGCATCCAGCAGACCTGAACTCTGCACTGGTCCAGCTTTCTCTATGTCTGTAAGTGGTAACAAACAGTAAGGAAGGTTCTACTGAACACATAGAACATCGAGGGCACCCTTCAATTAACAGTGGCACTCCCTAATTGAAAAAATAGTTGACACTTGTTGTACAAATAAACAGATGCATTCATCATTATTACTGTCTCGCTGATTAAGCTGGTAATTCATGAAGTAATTCATGAGGTGGGGAGAAAGACAGAGTAATTCTGATGTGTGTAGTACACACAATAAAATGTCTGGCTTACTGAGCAAACATATTTAATGAATACGAAAAATGTTAGCTGTGCAAGAATGCTTCCCTGGTATCCTTACAAGCCAGTTAAGAATAGGATTTTTCCCCCTTGCTATGTTCATTTGGAGACATGATTATTGAAAGCATGATGATCGTGTTTTTAAAAAAATGCTGAGATCCAGGAAAACAATTATTTAAGGAAAAAGTTCTCAGCTCATAAGACTTGTACCTTCCTGGAAAACAACCTTCAACCCCTCCAAAAAAAAACCCAGAAGGAAAAAGTTAAACGGTTATGCTTCCTTCCTTACCCCTTTTCCCCCTTGCATTTACTATTCCCGCATAAAATGTGTCTAGGCCTCAACTTCATCTTACGGTTAGGTTTTTTAGTCTTTGGGCGAAGTAATTTATACATAATGAAGACAGAAAACTTTTTGAATTAGCAGAGAGATTTCACCTTGAGACAACTGAAATGGAAAGTGATGGATAATAGCAGAATCAACACATTCAGAATGCTTACGGCAAGGTTTCATAGAACAGAAATACAGCAGGGCTGGAAGAAATGAGGCAAAGGTGGCGTTCAATTCATTTGAAGAAGATAATGTCACAAAAGCCACAGAGGTAGATTTCATTTCATAATAATCTTCAATACATTTAAAAGAGTGACAATAGGCTTGTGAAACAGTATATACACTGTCTTTAAACACAATAATCCTGAAAGCTATCAAATGAGACAGAGATACTGCAGACGAAATCTTCTGCATTAATGTCCATTCAATACATAGCACTAATTAAAAAACAACTCAAACAATAATCCAAACATTACTGGGAATTTTCAGAAGGCCGCAACTATTTTAACTCCTTCAAGCACCCGGATTCTGCTGCTCTCTCCATGCTGAACAGCGTCGTACCCTTCAAGGAATACCGCCATGCTCCCAGTCAGGGTCAGGGCAGCAGAATCTCACCCATAATGAACGGCAGACTCTTTTTTAAGATTTGGGTAACGCACTTTTAGCAGGATGGCTCCCTGGCTGCAGGGTTACTGTCTTCAGGGGTGTAACAGTGATGTGCCGGGGAGGCTTGCCCACATGGTTCTTTGCTTTGGAGGGAAACCGCTTAGCTCACCTGGCCTCCCAGGACAGTCATTGGACAGCCACCTTTCCTAAAGTATACAATTATCTTTTCCCACCTCAACCCTGACTTTTATCGCTTTAATAGCTGAATGTAGAAGGCTGCCATAATAAGCTTTGCTAACCACTTGCCAGTGCCCTCATAAGGATTTTATTTTTAACGATTCAGAAGATGCCAAGAAAGAACTGAAAGGTCAAGAAAACTGAGCTAGAAGAAATGGATATGCTGTTTTCAAGCACCTCAACTTGGCACACATGGAGAACATTTAAATTTCTGGTTTACTGCCTTCTTCTGGACCCTCCGGGGCAAGAAACCTAATTAATTTATGTAATGGACCATTAACAGCTCCCTGATTACAATCATTACAATTCACAACTATGTTTATGGATGATTTTGATTCACTGACATAAATATTACAACTTAACCCAGTTGGGTAGTTCTGCTCCTTCACTTCACCCTATTAAAATGAGCACGAACAGCAGCATAGAAAGAAATAACTGGTTTAGGCAGATTTTGGTCTTCATTATCTGAGTCACATTTTGTCTTCCAACCCTTATATTTACCAGTATTTTCTTTTTTCCAACTTTTACTCTGTGTCTTCAGGCAAAATAATTTCAATGTCTCACAGTATAACAGCCTGTGATTTAAAGACAAACCCACTCCGTTCTACAACCTTTTACTGGAAAGATTCTCTGTCTTTTTCCCTAGTGTGGGCCAAATCTTATTAGATCACTTTTTCTTCCAGTCAGAGGCACAGCAATCACCTCTTCTAGCAAATATGAGCACGTAACAGCTCCAGAACAACTGCAAATACAACTTAAGGAAACACGATATACTGAAGATTTTTTTGTTTCTTTGTTTATTAGATATTTTCAAGTAGGGTATTTTTAACTACCCTTCCAGGCAAGTTAGCACTAGGCTTGAGGGGAGGGACAGAAAAAGAGTATGGCTAATAACATGGGTTCAGCCAGTACTCCATGATCCACCAGCAAATGCTCAAGATTAAAGTCTGAGGAAACGCTGAAAAATGGACTCATGTTAACCAGCTTTCAGGAATCTCTTAAGAAAATTCATACCAACACTGTATGTTTCA